AGTTAAAAAGGAGAGGGAAACCAAGATTTCGAAAGTTTTGGGGTATGTCTTGGTTAACCAATCAAAAGACGATCAAAGCCAAAATAGAAAAGTGAAAATTTTAGGTTGGAAGTTATGGGTAAGTTGGTTATTGATTCATGACAAGATGAATTAACACTTTTAAGGCACGTACAGACGACACCTGGTTACGAATATAAATTTAAGGTACTATGAAGTAGACAGAAAGATATATTTAATATAGGGTTAATTTTAAAGAATTTCAAGATTTTTAAAAAAGTATATAATTGAGAACTATCTTAAAGGGGCCTCTAGTGTGATTAAATAAATTTTATATATATTATTTTGAACCCAAATTACAATACTTGAAATACAATTCTTTTGTTATTAAATATCCCACAAGAGAAACGTTGGAACTTTGTCAGAACCTGGACGCAAATTTAATGTTGGTGAACTAGCGTGTAAAGCACTTTCTACACTTTTTCATCTTAATTAATTGTTTTCTCTTTTAGAGTAGCATTTTTTTATGTCAAAATTCTTGTTAGTCTTTTTACTGCGAGCAACTAATGCTATTAATTTGTTGTTTTGCAAAATATCACTTCTGTGTTCATATAATATTTGATTGATATTTCTTGGGGTTTCTCTGGTGTATTTTTTGTGGCAATCATTACAGGTAACATAGTAAATTCCTATTTCAAGGTGCAGCTTATTATTTTAGACGCAGTTCTGACAAATATAATGTTGAGTTTAGATAAATTCTTTCCAGTTGTAGTTGTGATAGTATTAGTGGGTAGAATAGTATATAATTTTTATTCATTGGATTTGTCATGAGGATTTGCTTTTTTGTTTTAGAATATTTTATGAGCCTTTTGTTTTGCATTGAATACAAAGTAGAATATTGGAGGAGCTTGAAAGAATTTTCAATGTATTTCTCCGCTTCTTGTAAGGCTGTAAATTCTGAGTAGAATCAGATGATTATTCTGGATTTTATTTTGTTCTTATGATGAGAATAGAAATTTATTAGAGCATTTTCATTAGTTGATTTTCTGTGGATACAAAGTTTTAAAATGTACATATGTACATCGTCTTTGTCATGTTGTATTGATAATGTTATAATTTATGAATATGTCCTGAAGATGGTTTATTAGACCGAAACGTCCAACGTTGACATATTAACATTAAAACAGCATAATTGTATAGAAGGATTTTGGTTTGTTTTTTCCGTGTATATTTTTCTTCATACTGTCGGATCTATATCCATATATTTGCTTACATATATATATATATATATATATATATAATGAAATTATTTTTCCATGATGCTTTAGGGTGATTTATGGCCACGGATTATATAAACGCGTCCCTACATTCTTTCTTCTTTGCGTTCAAGTCGTCGGAAGATCGCCTGATCGTGAAACTCGAGTTACGACTAGAGCCATCCTTTCATATGATTTAACGTTGTTAAGCGTTTTTTGCTCGGGCCAGGCCATCTAGGCTTCCAGCATTTTACTGAGTAGGTACGTTTGCGTCTGGACATTTTTTCTCTTATTTTTGTCAGTATTGTCGTTTTTTTCTCGTGACTTTAGCCGGACAAGCATTTTAGGTTTGCCAGGTTGTATGTTGGTTCAAATGGTGTTTATTTTTCTTTAATAAGAATGGTTTGTATTTATATATATATATATATATATATATATATATATATATATATATATATATGAACTATCGCATATTGAGTGGTGATATTACTGAAACTTGCTTGATTTATAATGCCAAAGCTAAAATTTCTACTACCGATAAATATACGTCACCGGTAGCATAACTTTGAGTGTGATGCTCGATGCAATCATCAGGTGGTGATAGAAAAACAAAAATATATCTTTTGCATTGTTATATGAGCAATGAATATGCTTCTTAATCTTTTACCGGATACAGGTCTTTCCTAAACTGTGAGGCATTTTTGTATTATATTTACAAAAATATCTTCACATAAAATAACCCAAATGTTCAGTCAACCAGTTTGAAACCCTGTCGTTGATTTCACTTTCACTTACTGTTGTATCTCGGGCCACCATTACTGGTATAGCCATCAATGTCCACGCCTTAGATATCAGCGAAGTCACGATACTGTCATCACCAACACTACAGTTATCGGCACCCCCATTATCGTTATGTCCGTGGGTAATCCAAAATTACTAAGATGATGAATTCACTGACCACCTTCATACCCTAGCCAACCGCGACCTTTCAACCCTTCACCGCCACTAACAGCATCATGTAACTCCTAAAACGAAATAATATATAACATTGAAATCCATTACCATCTCGAAATACGATTCCCATAAAATAGCGATTGTGCCCCTACTAGTTTTCCCTTCACTTCAACTCCGCCGCTCACCAGTCGATATTAAAGCTCACATAAAACGGTAAATTCTTAAAACCTTCTATTGCTCACCCCCTCCCTCACTTCTTCTTTCCGGCCTGATCGCTGTGGCGGGAATTGGCGGGGTTAGCGGCGTTTGGCGGGAGGTAAGATTAGAAGAAACGAGGAAGTTAGACGTTTTACAGCCTAGTTCGCTAGTAAAGTAAATTTACAAGTGAATAGAGACGTCAGAGAAGCGGAATAAACATTGCGAAAGATAACGACCATAATGGCGACGAGCGAATATTTGTGACATTGGCCGTGGCTGGCATTACAGGAAAGAGGAAGTTTTCGTTGGACACGAGATATTTCTGACGATTATGGAGAGAAAGAAATAGGGAAGAAAGAAGTGACTGTCTTGCAATATTGATAATAACTGGAAGGAAATTTACAAGGTGAGGAAAATAGTTGAAGTAAAAGAAGTACTTGATGATATTGATGAAGAAGATTAAAGAAAAAACAAACAAACAAGGAAAGCATTAGAATGTCAACGAAGAATTTTAAGAAAGAAGACGAAAAAGAAAACAATTAAGTAAAAGAAGGAAAGTATTTAGATATAGACAAAGAGCATTAAGAAAGCGAAAGAGAAAATGGAAAATGAATAAGAAATACAAGAAAGTATTTGGATGAAGCCGAAGAAGAACAAATAGGGAAGGATTAATAAAACGAAAAAGTTCTAGTCGAAGAAAAAAATGAAAAAGAAAAATGAAATAAAGGAAAAAGGTAATTAGAAGATGCGGTTGAAGAAGAGTAAGAAAAAAAAGAAGATTACAAAGAAAAAGATTAAGCAAAGATGAAGAAGTAGTCGAAAAAAGAAAGAGAAGACTAAGAAAGAAAAATGAAGAAGGAAAAGATTAATAAAAATAAAAAATGTATTAAGAATATGAGAAAGACGAAATAGAAGAAAACTAAGAAGAATAAAAAGAATAATAAAAAGAAAAAAGCAAGAAAAAGAGAAACACAAAGAAGAAGAAAAAGACTTAGAAGAAAACGAAGACGAAAGACATCGAGAAGAAGAAAATGTCTATGAATAAAAGAAAGAGAAAGAAAACCAATAAGAAGAAAAAGAGTAAAGGAAATATAAAAAAGAAGAAAAAAACAAAGTAGAAGACGTAAGCTATTAAAAGATTAAGAATAAAAGGATTGAAGAAGAAGTTTAAGAAAAAGAAAAATATAACGATGAAATTACAGAAACAGATTAAAAAAAGGATTAAGAGTAAATAACAAAAGAAGAAAGATGTGGTGAAGAAAAAAGGATAGAGAAGAGGAAGACTGCGAAGAAAATATTACAAATAAAAGGTAGAAAGAAAAACATTTAGAAGAAGAAAAAGATTACCAAAAACAAAAAAAAGCATTAAGATGTAGCAAAAGAAGAAGAAGAAAAGAGATAAGATTAAGAAGAAAAAGATTAAGGAAAAGAAAAAGATGTCAGAGATGTAGCCAAAGAAGAAAATAAAAAAGAAAGATAAAAAAAAAAATGTATCTATAAGATACGGTTGAAGAAGATTAAGAAAGAGAAGATGAAGAAGAAGAAGAAGAAAACGGTTAAAAAGAGATTATGATGTAGTTGAATAAGATTAAGGAGAAAACGTAAGATGAAAAAAAAAAAGGAAAATTAAGAAAAACAGTAAAAAGTTTTATCTGAAGAAGGTGAAGAAAGAGAATAAGAAGAAAAAGAATAAGAAAGAGAAGATTAAGAAAAAGTAAGATGTTTTGGAGAGCCATGATCACACATTTCCTGGAGGCACAAAGAAGAAGAAGAAGAAGAAGAAGAAGAAAAAAATTACGGAAAGGAAGGAAAAGCAAAAACGTTGTAGATTAAGAGAAGCAAAAGGAGAAGGAGGAGGAGGAAGAAAATATTAAGATATTGAAAAAAAATAAGAAAATAAAGATTAATTGGAATTAATGCATGTAAAAAATAAAATAAGAAAAGTTTTAGAAGAATAAAAATACTGAGAAGAAGAGGAAAACTAAAAAAGGAATAAGACTAAAAAGAAGAAAAAGGCTAAAAAAGAGAATCCCAAATAAGAAGAAAAAGTTTAAGAAGAAATATCTAAGAAGAAAACTAAGAAATAGAAAAAGTCTAAGAAGAAAAAGGCTAAGAAAAAGTAAAAGACAAAGAAGAAGAAAAAATTAAGAAAAAGAAAACGTAAGGGAAATATAAAGAAGAAAAAAAAGAAAAAAACAGGAAGGCAGAAACTGAAAAAGAAAAAGCCTAAGTATAAAAGGATTCAGGAAGAATTTTAAGAAGAAAAATATAAGGATGAAACCGCAGAGACAGATTAAGAAAAAGATTATAAAGAGAAAAAGATTAACAAAGAAGAAAGAGAAAAAGAAGAGGAAGAAGAGGTAGTGGAAGGTTGAACAGAAAAATAAGATAAAGAAGAGGAACATTGTGAAGAAAATATTAAAATAAATAGAAGGAAAAATGATTTAGAAGAGGAAAAAGAATAAGAAAGCAAAGGAGGAAGAAAGAAGAGGAGGTGCAAGATTTAGAAAGTAAGTAAACATTAGAATAGCCTCCCTCTCCAAAAAAAAAAAAGAAAGACGAGCCAAGGAGCAATTTGAAGGAGATTAAGAAAAACTACATTGTGAGAGAGAGAGAGAGAGAGAGAGAGAGAGAGAGAGAGAGAGAGAGAGAGAAGGAGGCAGATATGGAGAATAAAGAGAGAAATGACACTAAAAAGTATGAACGAGCGAGGTATGTAAAAAGAAACGATGAGAAAGTGAAAGAGAATCAAAATAAAGATAGAAAGAGAAAATGGAGAAAAATAAGAAAGCGACGGATTTATAGAAGTGTTGTAATCGATAGGTGTGAATAGGGGAAATGAAAGGAAGGGAAAAGAGCCAAAACAGACGATAAGGAGAAATGAGAAGTGGCGGGAGAGGAACTTTATTGTGATTGAAGGAGAAAGCAAAGGAAATTAGTAGGGAAAGAAAGAAGGGAATAAGAGTAAAAAAAAGTAAAGAAAAGGAGGAAAAGAAGAAGGGAGAGGAGGAGGAGGAGGAGGAGGAGAAGGAATTATGACTGAATGAATTAATAAAATGGAAAAAAAGGAAAGGAAAGCAGGGTATAGGAATAGAAAAATAAGGGAAATGATGAGAAGAAGAAGAAGAAGAAGAAGAAGAAGAAGAAGAAGAATAAATTATCAGAGAATTAAATGGAAAAAGAAAAATGAACGGACAAAGGGCAATAGGAGTAGAGAAATAAGGAAAAAGACAGAAGAAGAAGAAGAAGAAGAAGAAGAAGAAGAAGAAGAAGAAGGTGATGATGATGATGATGATGATGAAAAATGAAACGAAAGAAAAGTGAAAGTAAAGAAAGGAAAAGGAGTACAAAAGTAAGGGAAATGAAAAGAACGAAAGAAGAAGAAGAAGAAGAAGAAGAAGAAGAAGAAGAAGAAGAAGAAGAAGAAGAAGAAGAAGAAAAGAAAGAGAAATGAAAAAGGGAAAAGGAAAATGAATAAGGAAAAGACAGAAGAAGAAGAAGAAGAAGAAGAAGAAGAATAAGAAGAAGAAGAAGAAGAAGAAGAAGAAGAAGAAGGTGATGATGATGATGATGATGAAAAATGAAACGAAAGAAAAGTGAAAGTAAAGAAAGGAAAAGGAGTACAAAAGTAAGGGAAATGAAAAGAACGAAAGAAGAAGAAGAAGAAGAAGAAGAAGAAGAAGAAGAATGAAACGAAAGAAAAGTGAAAATAAAGAAGGGAAAAGGAGTACAAAAGTAAGGAAATTGAAAAGAACGAAAGAAGAAGAAAAAGAAGAAGAAGGAGGAGGAGGAGGAATTATGAATGAATGAAATGGAAAACAGGAAAGACGCGAAGGGTATAGAAATAGAAAAATAAGGAAAAGGGTGGAAAGAAGAAGGAAAAGAAAAAATTAAGAAAGAATAAAATGAAAAAAGAAAAATGAATGGAAAAGCGGCAACAGGATTATAGAAGTAAAGAAAAAGACAAACAGAAGAAGAAGAAGAAGAAGAAGAAGACATGATGAAGAAGAAGACATAAAAATGATATGAAAGAAGATTGAAAGGAAAGAAGGGAATAGAAGAAGAAGAAGAAATAATGCATAACAAAAATGAAAAACAATGGAAAAGCAGGAAGAAAAAAGACAAAAAGAAAGCGATCGAAGGAAAAAGGCAAGAGCAGCAAGAATGCAAGTTAAAATGAAAGATACGTATAAAAGATTCGGAAGCTGAAAAGTAAAGTGAAGATGAGAAAATTGAGAATGGTCTCTGTGATTCGGGTCAATAGGAAGCCGATGACGATTGGATAATTTGCTAGCAGAAACAGCCATTAAAGACACGACATTCAATTCCATTTTAGATGTAATGATGGCGATCATAAAAAATCAGCGGTGACCGCAGAATGATGAAGTTAATCACATCATAACATCAGAATTCTAGAGAGAAGAAAAACTAGAGACAAATAGATGGGCTGGGGCAAGGCAGGGCAATATTTTGGGAGGGACCGTATGAAGTGCTTTGACTCTGTATCTTTCGCACTTGTGTATTTATTGGTCGATATCAGGTTTTGTACAAGGTTACAAGCATAGAAAGTTTAAGGAAAACAAACACAAGTAGCATTTTTTAATCATTTCACCCCAAGCAAGGCGAAAATGTCTCTAAGACGCAAATGGTTACTGGAAGTGGAAGAGTATATGACTTTAGTGAATAGAAAGGAAACCTCTCTCTCGAGTCGTTTGTAACACGTTTATTTATTATCTCTCAGTTGCGTCTCTGTTCTTGGACAGATTGCGCTCAGAGGCGACTCCGTCGGAGTCACAACTGAGGAAAATTATACTGAGAGGTGCCCAGCCTGGGGAACAGCTGCCCGAGGCCGTCCCCTTTCATTACACCAGAAAGATAGATCGGTCCTAGCACAGAGGCCAGCGCAACTGACGGTTGCGGGGGCTGTGGGCAATTTTTGTTCCTTGCCCGGGTGTACGTGCTCGGGTCTCTTACCTTAAAGAAAACCTTGTGTTACAACTCACCTTAGTGGGGGAGACAGAGTAAATACCTACAGAAGAGAAAGGACAATAAAAGAACAGGTTTCAGGAAGACAGAAAATGGCGATTGACGTTCCAATTGAATGATTGAAGACCGTAGGACACAGGAAAGCATGGAATTGGAAAAGAGTTCCAGAGGAAAGAAGTGCTAGAAAAGGAACTATTTGAATAGAACTTACGGTTACATCTAGCTAGTTCAACAGTAAAACGATGAGAGTGACTTTCCAATCTAGTAGTACGCTTAAATTCACGCGGTGGAGAGTTTATTAAAACAACTGGCCATGAAAATATTTTTTAGAAAAGACAGAGGGAAGCCACGTTATGATATTGTGAAAGTGTCGAGATGCCAGGTCAGGACCGATAATATTCAAGTTCTTTGGATTTTCTCGAGAATCTCGATATATATAGACGAAGCACAGGACCAGATAGGGTAGCAATATTCAATGCCCGGATGAATGGTAGATTCATGAATAGGCAAGATGGATTCTGGCGAGATAATTTGTCTGTTACGACCCAATGAACAAACCATTTTAGCAACAGACCTAGTAACTGATTCAATTTAATCGCTCCACTTTATGTCAGTAAAAAACTCGAGACCAAGAAGGAACAATGAGTTGCTCTCTTATAAAACTGGGCTTGTAGCCATCATTCTGCAGTCAGTCTTCTGCTTGTCTAGACAATAATCATGATTATTCACGGTATTGCTTTTTCGCGGTTTTAATTAATCCGCGATCAGACCGGAAGTAATTCATAAGTTTAAGAAACGACTTAGAGGACAATTTTAGCGATGATGGCATATGCGAAAGTTAATTAAAAGAGTTCTTTTTTTTTAAATGAAAAACGGCAAAGATCTTCAATATCTGTCTATATTTCTGAGATGAGGTATTGTAACTATTTACACTATTTCCCATCGTTCGGACTGTTGTTCTCATCTTTGTTGTCATGTTCACGACGTTTCGATCGTTGTACGCTCTGGTCTTCTTCAGGATCTGGCTATATTTCTGAGATGACGTATTGTAACTATTTACGCTATTTACATTGTTCGAACTATTGTTCTCATCTTTGTTTTCATGTTCACGACGTTTCGGCCGTTATACGCTCCGGTCTTCGTCAGGATCTGGCTATATTTCTGAGATGACATATTGTAACTATTTACACTATTTACATTGTTCGAACTGTTGTTCTCATCTTTGTTATGTTCCCGACGTTTCGACCGTTGTACGTCCCGATCTTCTTCAGGATTTGGCTATATTTCTGAGATGAGGTATTGTAACTATTTACATTATTTACATTGTTAGGATTGTTGTCCTCGTCTATGTTGCCACGTTTAATTCGTTTCGGCCATTGTACGCTCCGTCCTTCTTCAGGTGATTGGCCCAGTGTATAAAAGCGTTGTCTGAAGTAATCCAGTGACTTGACCCAAAGAGTTGTGAGTTCAATACTTGTCCACAGCAGAGGTGAACAAAATCTTGAAGAGTTGAGTTGCTAAAGGGAATTAACTGAAACTGAGATATCCCGAAGAGGCATGGCTCATGGAACTAGAACAATCTACCCCGGTGAACGAAATAAAGGGCTTGTTTCGAAATTCCAATCACCTGACAAAGGATGGAGCGTGCAACGGTAGTTTGTTCTAGTTCTACATGACATGCCTATTCCGGATATCTCAATTTCAGTTATTTCCCTTTAGCAAGATTTTGTTCACGCCTGCTGTGGCCAGGTATTGAACTCACAATTCTTTGGGATAAATCACTGGATTACTTCAACCATTGAGCCATGTGTCCTTGTAAACATCAGTGACTGGATTTGGGGGATTATAAGCCTAATGTCTCACTTACTTTTTTTCAGACCTCATATTACAATTTGTCGTTATTATTGTTGTTTTTCTCTAGCACTCTTGAGATATCCAGAAAAGGCATGGTACATTGGACTAGAAGTACGTTGAACTGGGCGAAATAAAGGGTCCGGTTCGAAATTTCAACGTATATCACCTGAAGAAGGCTGGAGCGTACAACGAACGAAACGTCGTGAATATGACAACAAAGATGAAGACAACAGTCCGAACAATGTAAATCGTGTAAATATTCAAAGATCTTGGCAAATAAGGAAATTACAAAAATCGTATGTTGCTGTTAGTAAGATCTTCGGTAAGAACGAATCTTACAATCTGCTACATAACTTTCATTATATAAATTTCTTTAAATACCATGTACCTTCAGGATGTAGACAATCATGGCTCTCCACAAGTTCCTCAAAAGGGAGACGATTAATTTACCGCAGAAATCTCCACAGCTTTGAATTCAGTAAAGGTTTTTTTTTCATAGAATAGTTGCTACCGGAGGTTAAACATTCCAGCCTGCCCTGTTATTCAGGGAAAAAAGATTCATGCCTTTTCCAAGGGGATTAGTGTGAAAGCAAGTGCACAAGAGTAAGGCTGAATTTGAACACGGAACACTGATTCTAATTTCCGTGTCTGCACTTATAACAGTAGTCATGAGGGCTGATGAATATAGTTTCGGGTCTGATAACATAAAAGAAAAACTACAAAACATATCAATTCGATATTTAATAACCTTCGAAGTAGTCTCCTACTGAAGCTGCACACTTAATCCAGTGCCGTTTACATTGATGAAAGCATACTTGAAACTCCCTTTTTGCGGGCTAGCGAGCAATTGTCTCGGCGTATTCTCTTGGGTTTTTGTGACGTCTTGAAATCTTTTTCCTTTCACGGGGATTTTTGAAGAGGAAAAAGTCGTAAAAGACAAGAATATGGTGGCTGCCAGCCTGGGGAATATGGTGGTTGCCGGCCTGTGCAATATAGTGGTTGCCGGCTTGGGGAATATGATGGTAGCCAGCTTGTGCAATATGGTGGTTGCCGGCCTGGGGAATATGGGGGTAAATTTATTTATATATGCTTTGTTATAATAAATACATTGAGCTCTTTGTGGATCAGTTTTAATATTTTATATCATTAGTATTCACTTAGATTATATACCAACGGATTATTACATATATATATATATATATATATATATATATATATATATATATATATATATATATATATATATATCGTTTCACCCCAAGCAAGGAGTTAATGCCACTAGAATGCAGCGGGTTACAGGGAGTGAAAGAGAATGAGATTTTAGTGATGAGGATTGATGAAAGGACAAAAGACAGAAGATGGCGATTGACGTTGCATTAAAATTTTGAAGATTTTAGTTATCAGGAAAACAAGAAATCGGAAGAAAGTTCCACACATGAGAAGTGAGAGAAAATAAAGTGGCGGTTGCATCGAAGTTGTTCAATAGTGAAGCCTTGTTTCCAATCTAGTAGCTCACTTAAATACATGTAGTCGGCGCACCAGGTAAAAAAAAAAGCTCATCAGAACTGTTGCCATCAAAATATTAGTAGAAAAGACAGAGGGAAGCCACGTCACGTCGGTGAGAAAGTGATTGTAGTCGATATGCCTGGCCAGGATCGATTACATTACAGATCCTACTTTGAATTTTGTCAAGAATCTTGAGATGTACAGCAAGAGCACTAGATCAACATGCAAGTACAAATGTAGTGTTATCTGAAGCTTAGCAAGTCGGAAAAAGTGTTTTCGCTATATTTATTGCTGTTATTTGTTAGACATTTTGACGGTCGTTTCGAGTATAGAATCCAGAGGTTAGCAGTGAATATTTGGAGCAAAGTAGGAAAGCGTAGTTCATCCTTCTGTCACCTTCGCCGGACAATTTGGCACTGGTCATTCCGGTAGGTTAAACAAAGATGGCTGCCTTTATACACGACGGATACAATGTTCTGCGGCTTCTGATTGGTTAACCTTCTATTGGTAGACTATAAAGGAAATTAAGTCATTTTGACTAACTCACGAGTTACACAAAAAACTGTAACATTATTGATGAGCAGGTGGCAGAGTGGTTAGAACGTTCGCTTTTGGTCCACGAGAACCTGGTTCGAACCACACCATGCCTGAAAACCATACCACGTACAAATCTTGTGAGTGAAATTGGATAGACGTTGTACTCGCACGAAGTCACAAATTATCGTGAACAAGGGTCACAGTATGCAGGCTTTGTTCAAACTTTAGATAAATGTGACAAGAAAGGCTTAACGGAATCTAGGTGGGACAATTGACCTGTGAGAAAGAGGCTGGAAGTCATACATCGTAGAACTCTTTACAGCAAGGGAGATAATTATGTAAACAATGAATACTTAATATAATCTATGTATACACATATACTCTAGATGACAAAAACTGATCCTCTTAGCAAAGTTGCAGTATAAATCAAAGGTGTGTATTGTGGGTGTTGAACACACTCACAAATGCGGCTGAGCAGACGTCTGTAACAGGGATTGCTTAGCCATCCTAAAAAGCATGCATGCTCGGATACGAGAGGTCAGCCATTAGTGATTTATTGCCGTAAAGGATTTTTTAAAAAGACAATGAGCATTCTGTTTGTTTAAATTTACGATGAAAGAAATCATCGCAAAGAGAGGTTGGAATAGACAGTCAGATAAATTATAAAAAGATATAGAAAGAAAAAAACAAAGCTTCACTGGAAAAGGAAGTCAAACTCTCTGATAATCGTAGGCTATTCAGGAAAAAGACGAAAAGATGGCGGTGCTAGTTCCCGATTCCGACTTCTTCATTCTTTCTTTGATTCTGCCTTTGTTTCTTTCTACTTCATATTTTTAGTTCATTTTTTACATTCTTCCTTTAACTTTGTGCTTTTCGCAGACCTCTTTTTCGTTTGTTCGTTCTTTGCTAACTTTGTTTCTTCGTTCCTTTATGCTTTTCTGTAGTTCTTTTTTATTTTTCTATCTTTCTATTTGAGTTAATTTTATATTCAAATTAATTTTCTTTCTTTCTTTTTTTATTCTTTCTCTTTAGACCATTCTATCTATCTATCTATCTATCTATCTATCTATCTATCTATCTATCTATCTCATTTTTATTTCTTTTTTGCTGTCTTTTTTCTTTCTATCCTTTACCTTGGACCATTTCTCCCTCCCTCCCTCTCTATCTATCTATCTATCTATCTATCTATCTATCTATCTATCTATCTCATTCTGATCATATCTATCTCTTTTTTTTCTTTCCTTTTTATTCTTTCTTTCTTTCTTTCCTTTCTTTTACCTTGGTTCATTTCTCCTATCTATCTATCTATCTATCTATCTATCTATCTATCTATCTATCTATCTATCTAATTCTGATCACATCTATTTCTTTTTTCTTTCCTTTTTTCTTTTTCTTTCTTTTACCGTGGATCATTTCTATCTATCTATCTATCTATCTATCTATCTATCTATCTATCTATCTATCTATCTCTTTTTTCTTTCTTTTTTGCTTTCTTTTTTCTTTCTATCCTTTACCGTGGACCATTTATCCCCCACCTCTCTCTCTCTCTCTCTCTATCTATCTATCTATCTATCTATCTATCTATCTCTTTTTTCTTTCTTTTTTGCTTTCTTTTTTCTTTCTATCCTTTACCTTGGACCATTTCTCCCCCACCTCTCTCTCTCTCTCAATCTATCTATCTATCTATCTATCTATCTATCTATCTATCTATCTATCTATCTATCTATCTGTTTCAGTCAATTTTATTTTTGCCCATCTTCTTGTCTTCCACTTTTTTATTTAATCTTAATTTTATTTATATTCTAAAAAAAATGGTCCAGCATGCCACTTTTAAATGTCTGCCATCCACCTACCCACATTCAGACCTCCAAACACCATCCCTTACCCTTCAAGTGACTCGTGTCATGTTTCATCCTAAAGACGCCTTATTTCCACCAAGGTACACCTGGATGGCTACAAGTACCTGGCTACCCTTAATTCAATACTCACCTTTCTGACATACCCGGCAATTAGGTAGCAGGTATTGGGAAACCACAAAGCGAGACGCAGATAACTGCACAAAAAATAGAGCTAAAGATACACGCATTATTTCTCTCGTTTCTCGTATATCATTTGAACAAGCTGGGCTCGATCCTCCGGCCCGCACCTCTCTTGGTTGTAGGCGCTTGTGCCTGTGTCTCTACGAGGGCTGCGGGGTGAAGGCAATAAATGTCTACAGTTTGGGTTATTAAAGATTTTACAAGCAATGAATATAACTAGTTTTCACGATTTTCCTATTTGAATTTTCTGATGAACCTTAACTCTTCAGTTCATGATTGAATAAGCTCATGGCGAGTTCAATGATAATAAAATATCCGTAGAAATTCCCCTATCACATCGTTAATTATTTGAGCTTAACAACTTTATCAAAATCTTGCAATAACAATGATAAATATGAATGCTCGTTGTTATTTTAAGAAGTAAGGGGGTACAAATGAAAAGATATGAAATTGACAATTTTTCCATTTCAATGAAACAGACGTTAAACACTTCCATTTTTTTAAATTCTTTCTTTCTTTAATTCATTTTCTCACTGAAACCAAGTAGCGTATGTCTTTTGCTTTTTCTAGGCAATCAAAACGGAACAGTCCATCATTTATGAAGTATTCTATCTTCTCTTCTTTCTTATCAGCTTAAACTGGTTTTCTCTCTCCACTTCTTTCTTTCTTTAATTTTCCCACTGAAACCAGTGTCTTTTCCCCTTTTTCCACGTGATAAAAACGGAATAGCTAATTATTTATGACGCATTGGCAAGGCATAACGGTCGTGCAAACTTACAAAGTAGGTGAGAGAGCACAATTCTTATATGATAATTGTTGACCTAAGGTGAGGAACAATATAATGGTTAATGAGCACCCGTCGGGATCTCAGGTGTAATATCTATCGAAATGTGCATATTTTAACATTAATTAACTTAAGCTTCTCCAGATTAACTTGAAGATATATTTCTACATACCTGTGTCTCATAGACTACGTAAAATCATCTGATATGGTAGGGCACTGATTTATATTTGAGCTACAAGGAAAACTTTATTTTGAAAAACTCGATATAGCAGCGCTACTCACAAATTCCGTTGTGATACTCATCCAAGTATTTATAAGCCAACGGATTGGGTCTCACGAGCAACGTCTTGCTTCCCCTTAGCCGATCCGAGGCCCATTGGCCCAGTGGTACGACGCTTGTGTTGTATCGTAACGGTCCGGGATCAATTCTCGTTAGTGGATGCGCACTGCTGATGAGTCTCAAATATAGGACGAAACAACCGTCCAGTGCTTTCTGCATTCTGTTGAGGATTCTTCTAGAATCGATGAATTACAATATATATATATATATATATATATATATATATATATATATATATATATATATATAAAAGAGAGAGAGAGAGAGAGAGAGAGAGAGTGTGTTTTTCTAGAATGGATGAATTACAATATACGTAGATATATAGAGATAGATAGATAGATAGATAGAAAGAGGATGCATATATATATATATATATATATATATATATATATATATATATATATATATATAAGTGGACATTGAAGTCAGCACTCAGAGACGACAGTCTGTTTCATGCTTTAAAGCAATCACCAGGCCAAATACGTTGTATTTTTCGAAATTTAGTTTTCTTGGGTGATTTGAAGTAATAAAAATAAGATACGTCATTATGCTTTCACAATGGAATACATGGTAGATGATACTTAGCTTTTGTGCCCATATATGTTTGTGAGGACATAATTACTAGAGGCGGTGATATGTGTGTTTTATGTTGTAGTTGAAATTTTGTATTTTGGTATATAGTTTAATTGTAGGATATAATATGGATTAATGTCATGAAAGAATTCTTTCATGTTGGTTTTTTGGTTGATTTGGTTTAGCGGCATATCAATCTCTATGGGCTATTTAATGCTAATATCTAAATATTTTGGACACAATTTTATGGCTTCATCTACAGATAAAATGTATTGCTAGTCATTTTGCTATGAGTAGGTATTCCTGGTCATTTTACTATAAAAATGTATTTTTATATTTTCATACTGTTCTATTTTTGTTTTGTTTGGTTTCATTATTTGCTCAGAGCTAGGACCCTAAAAAGTCTTACCACTCCGGGTCCGAGTGGACCTTGGAGCAATAGGAATTAAGCGGTAGTTCCACTTAAAACCTCTAATCTCCCGATTTTTGATTTAAAAAAAGAAAGAGCCAGGAACATGAAAGTCTGTCGAAAAAATCGCACAGATACAGGTTCAAAGCCCAAAGAAAAAACCCCGACACGAGTAAATAACTAACTAAAAAGAGCTCAATACAACCGTAGAGCAGACCTAGTCAAACCTAGTGAGCCAGACAAGGCAAACAGTGTTTGACATTAACGATAGAGCATTAACAGGATTAATATGAGTAAAATATTGTCTAAACGCAAGTCGCTCTTGTGTTCGTAGATACGGGTTATTACGTCACGTGATGTCCCCTCCCACATAAATGTAGACATTTTATCAGATAACTTCCGGCATTTGAAATGGTGTTTGGTTAATTTTTCTTTCTGATTATATCCTCAATTGTCTTGGAGGTGGTAGTAATGATCCTATTGTTAGCGATGGCTAATTCATTTGCGATGTTTAGTTGAGAGGGTGTTGGAGGGCAAGATTATGAATTTTATGTAATTTTTGAGAGTATCTTTTTTTGCTATAATTTTATTGAGAATGAAATGGTGTGTGTAGTGAAGAAGTTGGAATGTTTTCTCAATATATCCCACTTCATTTAGGTATTCAGGGCTGCATTTCCTAACGGTTCTGAGGTAAAATCCTATGATTAGTCCAGTTTTTATTCTCTGGTTATGGCGGGAATATAAATTGATTAGGTCATTTTTTGTGGATTTTCGTTAAACTTTAAATTTTAATTTATCATAATTGCATATTAATAAGATGCCAAGGAAAAGGTAGAGAGTTGCTTGTTTCAAGTTCATATGTCAATTTGATGGTGGGTTCAGCCTTATTGAGTTTTGTTATTATATTTAGTAGGTTTGTATCTTGAGAATAAAGTAAGATGATGTCATCACATTTGCCCGAAACAAAATATATTGTGATCTCTAAAGTAGGAAAATTTCATTGCAAATTTCTCTTTTTGTTTCAGAGTGACAAGTGTAGACCAGAATAACACAAAGTCTGACAGGCGAGTGTTTAGGTACCATCCTGTTATGAAATGCTGCAGACCATGGTCTGCAGATGGTGGGGCAGTGTTCATTGTCCTCGTGCTTCAGTAGATGCCAAAAACCATCAGAAAATGGTCATTCCAAGTTGATGACTACGGGACCCTGTGGTAAATACCTACAGAAGCGGTCGCCAGTCAATATCCAGATTGGAAGAAAATGTGTAAATTGTAGAGTTTTAATACTGTACTGTAAGTCTAACATTATGCGAAAACCGACGAATGATTAACAGATTAAGGAGTCTCATTTCACCTACAATATATATATATATATATATATATATATATATATATATATATATATATATATATCCTTCAAGACAGAACATCCAATGTAGACCTGTTTAACAGGTGTAATGTTAAAGGAATCGAAACTTTTTTTTTCATACATTCTCAGTTGCGGTGGACTGATCATGTCTTGAGAATGTCTGATGACAGGATCCCAAGATCCTAATGTAGAGCCAGTTAGATCAGGGCTACAAGAATGACTTTGATACAAACACAAGTTGGAGAGCAACTTGTCGGCAGTTAATATACCTCATAACACCCTCAAGAGCTTAGCCTTGGACCGGGTGGAATGGAGATCAACGTGTTTTAGTGGACTCAGCAGTTTTCAATCTGCTAGTCTGAAGCGTCTTCAAGCAGCAAGAGCAAGATCTAAAAGGTCAGCCAATCTAATAGTGACTTCATTCCACAAACCTCACTCTTGGTCCAATGCAGCTTCCTTTGCAAATCACTAAGCCACTTAAAATTATCGCAGAAAATTCATAAGTGAATCAACTGGTTGTCCGATCCTCATACGTCGATACCGATGGGGAGAGTCCATTATATATATATATATATATATATATATATATATATATATATATATATATATATATATATATGTGTGTGTGTGTGTGTGTGTGTGTGGAGTACAGACATTCACATTCAATCTTCTTTCATGTGCGATGTCTCTTCAGGTCGTGAGTGATCATGGCTCTCCATAATTTACTATCGTTTGTAGCTCTTAGTAATCTTTGCCTTTTTACTATCCCCTTGTCCCTGATATGCCATCCATTTGCACAAGCTTGCTGAGTATGTTATTCACCGTTCCACTTTGGTCCCTCTTGCCTTCAATATATCCTGTGAGTATCAAATTCTCCAATCCTGCATTCCTCATTATGTGACCCTGAAATGTTAACTGCCTCTTTCTGATTTCAACTGCCTTTAAAGATTTGTCCTTTTTGTTTCTATTTATCTTAAAACTACTACATTTTTTAAGAAAATCACCCCAAGCAAGGTGGGAGTGTCGTTAGCATGCAAGGGTTTACAGAGCGTGAGAGTAAGAATAAAGAGGAGTGTTTAGGGAAATGATAAAGAGAAGAACGGGGATCAAGGTCCAGTCATCAGAAGACGTCGATTGACATTACATTTGAATATTTGAAGATTATAGCTATCAGTGATAGGGAAGGAGTTCCACTGACGAGAGGTGCGAGATAAGAAGCTGT